TGGTTCGATCAGAAGGCGAAAGTAGAGCATCAGGATTACCAAGAAGCTGGCCACCCAAGCGATGCAACATTGGTCAAAATACCCATGAAATGAAGGGAAAAGAAAGGAAATGGGATGGTTGTCGGCCGAACTACTCGAGAGCATTCCGGCCTGAAATATACTTCATGAGGCCTCGATGCCCTTCAGATAGTGGTACCCAGATGTCATTTTTCCCCAGTGACACCTAAATGCCGTTTTTGCCCTGGCAGAATCCAACGAGTTTCCGTATGCGCCCGTGGTGGACCTGGTAGTCGTCTCCGTTATCCGGTAAATAAGCTTACTTCAAATGTACAGCGACAGCTGCCATCAGCGGAAATTCCTGGAGCTTTGAGAGCGCATTTATTGTCGTTTGATGGCGACGGTCGACCATCATTTCTGGGCGTTAGCACTTTGCAGTTGAATGTTGGCCCTAAAAAAAAACGAGATGGATTCTTGGATTAGCTGCAGCACAGGTACAGTCCGGTCCTTCAGCTATGCTTGTGAGAGCTTTTCCAGTTGCTTTGACCAGTGTTGCATCGCCTCTGAGTGGTCAGCCTGCTGGCAATTTTGACGTTTGTTTCATCTCAAGAAGGGAAGTGCTTTAGTTTTTTATGCGTTTTTGCATACAAGCACAAAAACGACCTATGACGTGCTTGTGTGTGTTTGTGCGTCTGGCCGGGTATTTCAACTTGGGAGCAAGCAAGCTTGGGCTCTGAAATTTTGCCAGTGGGTTCCTCGGTCAAGTGCCAATTCACTTCCGCGGTACCAACCTTCATGCACGTCTGAACTCCGCATACGAGCACGTGAAAGTTTTGGCAGGAAGACTGCTAACCAGGGAACCGAAAAAGCTGGAAAACTGAAATTGTTAGAGGGTGCTTCCTGTCCACGTAAAACTTAGCATGTTTTAACGTGCGGCTCCGTAAAAATATATAGAGACTTATATAAGAATGGAATCACCGAAAAGAGACTTTTGAGAGGTGATATAGTGAAGGGAGCAGAGGGAGCTTGGATCAGAAGAAGGGAAGCAGGCCAGGGCGAAAAGGAAGGCCTAGGATATGGTTTGAGATTTGTTTTAGTGGTGGAGTGGTACTACCTCTTAACGTTTTGTCACAAGCGGCGGGTAGGCAACTCATCTTTGTCTAGAAAAACCAAAAAAAACACTGGAAGAGTGGCAGAATTTTGTGTGGCCCATCACTGGTTTTCAGGATAAGTAGCTTCACTGGTAAAGGAACCGTAGTTGGAGTCGACAATAACTCCTATCTTCCAACTTTTCAGTATCATATCACTGGAAGGAACCCTACGTTCACCGCGGAAAACTAAAAAACTGAGTGAGTTTTGAGATCAGGAAATGGTTACAGATCTGTGTATGGTCCAACATTGGTTTCATAAAAAAAATTAGTAGATGTGGCTTTCAGTGAATCATGATCGATTTTAATGGTAAATTGGCAACTACTCTGGCACATCCAAAATAAAATAACAAAAAATCTCATGCTTCTGTCCCAAATTGCGAAGTAAGCATTCTCTAAGAAAGGAGCACTCTGCAACTTTTAACATACGCTTAGGTCCCACGTAGAAGCGCGTGGAACTTTTGACGCGAAAATTAGCAACCCAGAAACACAAAAACTAGGGGGATGATATAATTTTAAGATAATATTCCAAGCTTATGTTTTCCAAAATTTAAATTCACTCTTCACTTATGCCTAAGCGTTATAATTGGAAGTTGAAATGTACATGGACACTTCACCTAACAATCTGTCATACTAAAAGTTGGGATTTCATAACATCTACCTCAGAAAAAACCAAAACGCTGAGAGAGTTTTGCATTCAAAAAATGCTTTGCAAACCTTTGTATGGGCCATCGCTCATATTAATAATCAGTGGTTTCATTGGCGGATGTGATTGGATGGATCGTGATCGAATTATCGTTTTGTCGTTGTTGTTGCTGTTATATCGTACCTCGGGTTGAGGTCGAATCACTGCTGCTGCTGATGAGGACGATGAGGATCGGTATGAGTACGAAAATGAGTGACGGCTCTCTGATATTGGACGTGAGTAAGACAGTGAGTGACGGCTCTCTGGCAATGGACGTGAATACGATAGTGAGTGACGGCTCGCTGATTGTGGACGTGAGTACGACAATGAGTAATGGCTCTCTGAGAGTGGACGTGGATAGCCGACAAACCTGAAAAAAGCGGATATTGTGAACGAATCTATTTTACCGTACATAACTGACGAAAACTTGGAGTGTGGAGATCCGGATCCTCATCCTCATCAGCGGGATCTCTGTAGTGCTGCGCTAAGCTGTTAGTGTATTAGACCTAAATATTTTCATATTTTCTGATGCTAAAGCAACTACTCGATTGCTTTCTCGGATTCTGCTAGGCATCCTGAACAAAATGAGGTATGGTGGACTCGGAAAGAATGGGGCTGGGGTGCGAAAAATCTCACCACCGAAAATATAGTTAATATAGAAAATATAGTTAATGCAGTTAGAAAATATG